TTCATTTTGGGCATGAGCAGGAAAATGCTGTACGCTCACCCCTACAATTTATACACAGTGGTGCAATGTTGAAGTTTTTGAAATTGTGGCCATCCACTGAACATCGTGCACATGTCAGGTTGGCATAGCACAAGATCTTAGAATGACCAAAATGCTGGCACTGGATGGGGTTTGGAATATAAAGTCTTACGTGACAATTAAGATATCGAGCCTTAAAATTCTCAGCCAGATCAAGAAAGTTGAAGGTCAGGATCATGTGTTTGTGTTGATCAATTGACCTTCTTTATGCATCTTGATCTGCCTAACAGCATAGACATTTTAATTGGCAAGCCTGAAACAAACTCTTCTTCAGAAACAAAGAGAAGGTCAATTTCCATGATTACACCACGAGAAAAGTTCAGGGTTTTATGCGGTAAAACATTAACGACAGCTTGCTCAAGTCTGGATACTCATGAAGTACAAAAGCAGACTGAGTGGCCAAAATTGTGTCAATTAACAAATCGCCAGAATGGAGATACTTTACATTCCTTACCTCACCAATAAATGCCTGAATATGTTTTATTACAAATGGAGACATTTCTTAAATTAACTAAAAAGGCTAGATATAATAAGAAAACAGGTGCTATTATTAGATTCACTAACATTTGTAATGGTGTGCACTCTGAGGGTCCACATACTGTCATACTCAGTATCTACCTTCTGAATTTCATTGTTATGTTGTTTTGTCATTGTAATAATACAGGGTTCGTACACATTTCTGCACATGGAAATTAAGTATTTTTAAGGACTTTTAAGGACCATTAATGAAAAAAATTAAGGGCCTATGAACAAATGGGAAGTGAATATATTCAATTAAAAATATTATTCTATACCTGAATTTCACTTTTGTAATACCATTCTAAAAATAAAATAGATTTCTAAGTAGTATGCATTATTATTAAACATGAATTAACTAACATAATTATTAATAAGTTTGAGAATAAAATAAGCTTCATGCAGTTTATCAAGTAGCATAAAATATTTTACACTTATAATAGTTGGACATATTTGAAAGAAGATAAGCGACATTTACGTTTTACTAATAGTTAGCTTTATGCTGACTTTTTTTTTTTTTTTTTTTTTTTTTTTTTTTTTTTAATGTCTGATTTTTGTCATATACTTGGTCAGTCTAGAGGTTTAGCAAATAATAGGGAGATTTTATATCAAACGGCATAGGTTAAAATGAGAAGTGAGATCATAATCAGTATGATTCATAACAAAAGACTGAATGTTGTCCCTCTGCTGCTTGTCTATAGAGAGACCCTCTGATTGGAACAAACTTGAAAGGCCTGATGTAGGCACAGTTGGCAAGTGTTGAAAGTTGATTAGGCTCTGCTTAATACAGTTAATGTCATAGCTTTGCATAGAGTTCCAGGTGTAACCCAGTTAATATACTTTAAGGTTCCAATACGCCATTAAAGCACCAGACGTGATAAGTTGTTTTATATATAAGTCTCGGTAGATGCAAAGAATAAGTTTTACTTGAATTTTTACATTTTTGTGTTTTATGTTGTGACCACAGTGAGTATTAATGAAAGGCAATAACTCGCTTTAATATGTAGAGATTTTTAAGGGTAAGCAGTTAGTTATAAATAATTAAATTAGGTAATTAGATAACCTTAGTCATTATGAATTTACATGGCCACTATTAAATTTTAAATGTGTGTTAAAAAAAAGCCCTATTAAAATCAAAATCTAATAAATTCGCAGTTACATACATGTAATTTATGACACTGATTCGTAAACGATATTTGGATACACATACAACACTCAACAAGATATTTATCCGTCATTTAATTTGAAGCCTATAAGGTTATTTCTCCAACCTTCTTGGCGAGCCTTCGTGTAGTGGTCCGGTATTCCAGAGGTCTGCTGTTCAATTCCCAGCGTTATTAATTTTCAATCTTTCCTACTTTCAAAAATACCTAATGTCTCTACAAGGCTTCCCAAACATTTTGGCTAGTTTATATTGATTTCTTTATCTTTAATTATTGATCTTTTTTGACAATAATTAGAAACTTGTCTCAATATGCAAACCAATGTTCTCGCTAGTTTCTGTGTGCTTTATCTCCTAACTTGTCAACCTCTCCACAATGTACCTATGAGGGTTTACTTGATCTGGTAAAAGTTAAATAGTCCCAACCCCCACCCCCACCCCCACCTGATAGACGTGAAGCAAATTATCACTATGTCTGAAAGTAACTACAATATCAGACAAAGAACTTAGAACATTAAGGCATGTTCTGATGCTAACAAAGTCAATTACAGCTCATGGTGACGTAATTAAACAAGAACAGTCAAATTCAAACTAAAAACGTGGACAAGTGGTCAAAGATTATACAATTTAATTAAAATTTAATCTGGCTCAGTAACTCTATCATATGAGGAAACAGAAATGGGAAGTTATAGTAAAGGCTGAAATCATAAACAATTGCGTAATTTACATAATAACTGCACATATCTTTGAAGAATAATTTTCTTTATGTATTCGGTTTCTTTCTTCAACGTGTTTCCTTTTAATTTTAGAATTTTGGGATTTAATTAAGGATTTCTGTTATTCTAAAAAACACTAAATGCATTTAGAATGTACAGAAGAGTTAGTTGGTGTGGCAGAATTTTTAGAATTTAGAGCAGGCATTGGAAGTAGAATTTAGATAGGCACTAGGCAGCAGAATTCAGGATACACAGAGATTGCATCAGGTGGGAAAATGCATAGCACCAGCTCTGTGTACAATGCATTTAGACATATTAGATGAATCTTTTAAATTGTATGTTTTCAATTTCTATATTAATAAAAAAATCTCTTTCTATAATGGCTGCCTAAGTGATAAGATTAGAAGCATTTTTGATATTTTCCATGCTTTTGTCTAGAGAAAATAAAAGGAAGATAAACATGTTAAGAAAACGATTCTAGTATCAGGAGTAAAACATTCAAATATTATGTTTCTATTGTTCTTCCAGATGTTCTCCAAAAAGTAAGAAATTCACTTTCTGTAAAATGCATCCATTACGTGCTGATATGTTGATACCATGGAGGCATTTTCCTTTTGTCACATATTTCTCGAATCTTCTAGAATCGTGGGTCTATAGGTCTATAAATCTTGCCTTCAAATCTTTCTAAACTTTCCACGCTGCAATGTCAAAAATACTAAAAATTATCCCAACCAATTCTGTAACAGCAAAAAGCCAGAAATATTTTGAAAAAAATAAAAAGGAAGGAAAAAGTGTAAAATTAATTTTATAGAAAAAACTGATGCATATCTGAGAATTTTAAATAATTTAAGACAATTACATGGGATAAACGCTTACTATGAAAAAATTAAAAAGAAGACATTTTAACTAATTACATAGCTAATTTTGCTTTTACTAAGAGCTGTTTCGTAAATTATGCTTTATAGCTACATACCTTGTTTATTTTTCAGATTTAAAATATTGTATAATAAGTTGCCAAAATAAAACTTTATAACATGACAGCAAAAAATAAAAATATTTTATTTTAATGTTATTTTTTAAATATAATTCTAATATATTACCACTATTTTAATGAAATTTATCAATGTTATGATAAATTTTATGTCAAATCATAATTAAATGTTATAAAAAATTTTATGTCATGTCATTTTATAATCAATGTTATGTCAAATAAGAACAATTATGAACAATGTTATGATGCTTTAAAAAAAAAAAAAAAAAAAAAATCGGCGAAAAATTCTCAGATCTCGGAATAAAAAATTTTCTATAGAGACTGATCTTAAAAATCGCCAAAATTTTGACAAGTTGTCAAATTTAGAACCATTTAATAAAAGAATTCACAACCGCAAAAGCGAAAAGTTGTTTAAGAGCTCTTTATTAGAAAAAAATGAATTTTGAAATGCTTATGTTTCACTTCTTGTTTAGAAACTCGAGTATCCCATCATCAGAAATCGAAACAAATTATAACCCATGAACCCATTCAAAAGATAACCATATATGTCAATGAATCGCCAAAAATATTCCTCCAAAATGCTAATTCACACTCAAAATGGCAGTCGTAAAAAGACAGAAATTTCAGATGATTAAAATTAAGGACTTCTACTGATTTTGGCCAAAATTAAGGACTTTTAAGGACCAAAAACCGATTTCAAAAAAATTAAGGACTCTTAAGGACCGTACAAACCCTGTAATAACATTTACATATGTAAAAGACATATTTGAAGGAAAAAAAGAAAGAAAATCGAGGTTCAACTGCCCACCCACCACAGAGCTCAACAAGGAAACACAGATTACTGTGTTAAGACTAGCCAGTCCTATAACGCAAACTGAATGCTCACAGTCGGCTTTCCCGAAAACATGTATTCCTGCAAGCTTATCCCCAAATCGGCGACACAAATGTTGGACAATTGACACAAGTGAGGACAACTAAGTGCATCCCTAGCTGAAGCAGAGGCCAAAACAGTACCTCGTACCCCCCCCAACTACCAGGACCCTTCCTTTTCAACGTCACGAGTCTCTATTTATGGCAAACACATGGACATTTTCCTTGCCACTTGAAAACTAGAGATGACAGCTGTAAAAGCTTCTCACAACCAGCCCCAACTTCTGAAGAGGAAAACCACAAGGAAAAAAAGTAGTAGCTAAGAGGAGGGGGAAAAGAAGCTAGATCACTGGGGCTCTAGAATCCACCTGTCTTAACAAGAAGATGATCCCCTAAATGGCTAGGATACATCAGGATTGGCACATCTATACTCACAAAAGTGAGTTCTTGAGGGCTATTACATGAATAGAGGACAAAAATTATACTAAACAAACAAAGGACCAAAATCTGTTATTGATTACACTGGTTCTACTAAACTGTTACTAATGTCTACAAAAACTATTAAACAATCTACAAGTATACTTGGGATAAGACTTCACTTGTATCGTTTAAAAAAAAAGGTTTTATTTGTAAGAACAATTAACAGATATTTACTTTTTGCTACTTTCAACAAATGGAATAATTACCTTCCAAGTCCTGCCACACAATGAACAGCTACAAAGCTGTCTGGATCTTCCTTAAATCTCGTGCGCAAAAGTTCGAACCAGTCGTCTACTATTTTTGCAGGAGGTGGAAAACCATCATCAAATGGCCAATCCTATATTAAAGTATTACAAAATTTTAGAAGAACCTCAAATTGAAATATACATCATAACTAATAAAAGTTTCATAAGATTATTCAAAAATAAAATTGATTCTGAAACAGCAAACAGATTACACACACTGCACGTCTCATAATTTTCAAAACTCCTTCTATAGATCATAAACATTATTATATGTAAATAAACTATTGTGAAATATAATCTGAATTTAAGGGTATGTTCAAAATAATGTTCCAGGAAATAATTCCAGAACAGGGATGACTGTGTTCTGAAAGTAGGTGGAATTCCGGATTTTTTACTTTCTCAAATCCAGAATTTCCAGATTTACGAAATCTAGACTCTGTAATCAATAAAAACATACATATTAAAATCTTTTCAAATATTATTTTAGAACAAACATACCATTCAGCGATTACATAAAGTAAAAATTTTTAGATTACATAAGATCAAATTCTTGTGCGAGCAATCTAACTCTGTCTTGCTGTTCATCTTGCACAGAAACAGAAAATCTGATATTGTAAAGTTTTGGGCTGAAGTGTTCAAACTAAAAGAAGATTGGCAACAGAAGTACCCTATATATATAAAAAACATGGATTAACTATTTTAACTTGCTTCCGTGGATCCACTGTTTAAATCCATTTTGGGACTTGTGTGTTAATGGAGAAGGACTGGCTAACTTACGGCGATAATTTGATATAATAAGTTTTTATTTTGGGTGTAAAACATTCGGAAATCGCTTCTGAAACAGCATCAGAGGTTTTTTTTTTTTTTTTTTTTTTTTTAAACCAGTGTGCTAAAACTGCCCCCATGTGAACTTTGCTAGGTACGACATCAAATGCTGTTTTACTGTACTCCTATTTGAAAGTAAGTCTGACTTTTACAGCACAACTTTTTTCAGGATTTTTGAAATGGAATTGCAATCACTCCTGCAAAAGCCCTCCCCCCCCAAAAAAAAGCAAGAGAAATATGCTGAAAAGTAAGGTACAATCAGAGTATATTAAATTTTATTAACGTTTTTAACTGTTTTAGAAATAGACATGCTGAAATAATTTTAAAACAACTAGACTTTAGTTCATGTAAGTATTTTTCAGTAATTCAAATGACTGAAAATTTCAATAAAGCCCAATGCACATGTTGTTTGTTGCATTCAAAATTAAGCTGAACATGGTATTAAATTTTGCTGTTTGACACACATTTATTGGAGACCCACTGATGATCTCTAATACTGAGTAAGCTTGGAGCTGGATTAATCATTAAGGAAAATATACATGTGCTTAGGGCATAAAGAAAAATAGGCACAACAAAACTTTCTAATTGCCGCTTTTCTGAATGCAAGAGTACCAAATTCTTTTAGGTGCTTCGGGCCTCCAGAAATCTCAATCCTGCTGTAAGCAAGCTAAACTTTTGCTTCATTTCGACAAATGATCTGGGGAATAATGATCAATAATCTTAATGAATAATCTGGGAAATGATTATCAATGATCTTAATGAATGATCTGGGAAAATTAAAGGTTAGCTCTTGATCTTTAATGACCAAAATGATGAAAAAATACAACCGCTTTAAGAGAACTATCATGATTAGCAATGGCATTAACAAAGGGCCACAGTATGGGTCTGGCAAAAACAAGGAGCTCTTAAAAACCAAGAAAATGCATCTGCAGAAATCCAGCATGATGATGATAATACCAATAGTTGCCAACCTTGAAATCTGATAAAACCAGGAAGTTTTCTTGCTCTGTGGTGACACAGACTTGACAGAATGCCAAATTGATTTAAATTCAGGTTGTTGAGATATTTATAATGTGATTCTGATATAAAACACATCACGGCTGCCGCTCTTAAAACCTGGGAGATTTTTGAGAGAAAACAAGAGGTTATCATGCCATGCAGTGACCTTATATCTAATCACCATATTGATTTTAATTCATTTTAAAATGTGGGGTTCAGGTTACTGAAATATTTGTAACTCAATTTTGATATAAAATATAACAGCATTAAATTGGCTATTCTAAATTTTATGTTCGTTACCAAATTTCATTTTTTAAATTTTTTTTCGTACACTGAGAAAATCCTGAGTAGTGAAGGAAAGCTTTTATTTATAAAAGTACTTTTAACAGCAATGAAAATAAAATTAATAATGTACATAGTATTTATGTGGATAAACTTAGTAATGTACCATATATTGAAGTAAACAAAATTAGAGATATTAACTAATTAAACAATGCTTGAATCTTCATATAAAAATCTGCAAATGTCTATAGCAGATAGATTAAGACATATCAGATGAAACAAAATCTAATAAAGCAGTACACTAGGGAGAAGGAACACCCAGACCTGGCTTCATTTAAGTGCATTATATGGTTAATCGCCCCAATCCCTAGAGGTGATCCAAGGAGGAGTAGCCCTCGTCAACCTAGGGGGACTTATATGTTCACACAGCCTGGAGTTTATGCATGTAAAGTCAGAGGTGAATTAATTAGTTAATATCACTACCAAAGAGAAGTAGTCCATCTCCAAGTGTTGGACAAGAAGAGCCAAACCCCCAAAGGACAAGCTGAGCCTGAATCTACCACTGAATAAACAATGATGCTAGCCTGTGAAGACTGATTTTATACCCCCATAGACAAGACTGCCTAAGTATAGATCTTAATTAGTAGTTTTACTGGTTTTACCTGCGTTGACCCCAGGGTAGGGGAAATCTAATAAGACAAAGGCTAATAAAATGTGAACAGGATAAAAAAAATTCAAATTAAATATTATTTAATAAGAAAAATTATTCTAAAAATCACAAGAGACAGAGAAATGGAGGTTGCCTAATTTAAGTTTCATTAATTCAATAAATTTCATTTACTACTAGGAAATTTTTTCCTCAGTAAAGACTAAAAATACCAACTTAAAAACCAACAGATTTGGTGATCTACCTGGAGACTGACAAACGTGAAGAAAAAACCAGGAGAATTGGCAGCTATGCACTAATGCACAAGAAATATATTTTGAATAGTATTAATTATACAACTCCATTATTCCTGATAAGTAAAATCATCCTTGTCCAACCTCTGAAAATTATGAGATACACTGCACAATTAAGGTTGAAAATATTTAAAATTATAATGAATACCAGAACTCGGATTCCTTCTTTTTCCAACAGCTCTGTACTGTAAGTAGCTTCGCAAACTCTGACGACATCCTTTACATTCCTCTTTTTGAGTTCCTAGAAAGATTTTAAGATTATGAATTACGAAATATGAAATATGAATATACCAGCACAACAAGATAACAATACTAACAGCAAGTTCATTTATAATTATTTATCTTATTCTAAGAAATCAAAATTTGTGCTTAACTTGATATTTTTACTATCAACACTGTTTCCAAAAACTGAAATAATTTAACAGCAGCATCTTTTATTAAAGAAGAGGGGGGGACCTAAAAGAAAACATACTGAATCCTAATAATCTTCAGGTAACAGTTTAAATTTAAGGAATATAGCAATAAGCATTTTTGCAATTACTAAAAAAAATTTATAATTAAGATTTTCTGATTATTTTTTCCCTTTGTATATGAAAATCTGTTCTTCATTTATAACATTTCAGAAAATTTAAGATTTATTTTTCTTTCAGTTTTTTTCCTTCTGTAACCAATCTTTTAATATAAACTCTGCTATTAATATAAACTATGTTGGACTAACTCTGGCAACGAGGATGCCCCATGGTGAGTAGCCAGAGAAAGACTTCAGTAAAGGCCAAGTGATGAACCTGTTAGGTTGTATCAGACTCTTGCTCTCTAATATTCTTAAAATTATAAGTGATGTCCAAGTGTAGCTTAAACCTGTTAATAAATTATTGTTACACTATAAAGGACTCTTATGACCCCATCCAACACCCCCCCACACACACACACTTCTGTTTTATTATTTATTACTTGCATTTGTAATTAATGTATAATTTTGTTAATGGAATGATTTTAATATAACAACATACTATTTTTTTTTTTTTTTTTCCTTTAACATTTCTTTAAATCTCCAAGAGCCAGGTGAATACAAAATACAAATCAATAATCACCGTTAGTGACTTTTTTTAAGATAATCAGGAACAAATGGATGCCTATCTTTAGATATGCTTCATTTTATTTACCACGATCAATCAAATATGTACAAGCCTCTCCCCCATTTTTAACAAAAGTTATCTTGAAGGACAATCTAAATTTCTGGGGGGGGGGGTGGAATTACACAGTTTCCTCATTTTATGATACATTTTCCTCAATGTTTTGGTAATTTTTTCTTTCTTTTCCTGTAAAATGAATTTAAACAGTTATCTAACCAGCTACACACAAATGTTTCCACTTGATCATCGATCCAACAAATCATTTGACACCAACTGCTTCTATGAGGAGTTCGAAAATGTGAAATCCAGTACCCAAAATATTTGGCCAACACATTTCCTGCAGACCAGTCATGTTTCGGTCTTAACAGGGTTTCCTCCACCTTTCCTCCTCCACTCCATAGACTCTAGGGCAGGGGTGGCCAAACTACATGATGACAAGAGCCGCACAGTAGATTTCATGAATGCTCGAGAGCCACAAATCCATATTTATAATGTTTAAAAAATAATAAGACGTTTTTGAGGGAAAGTTTTGTAGTAAATTAATAAGAATTTGCATTTTATATGTGATTAACATGTTTAAATGATTAACGTGGTTACATATAAATGTAAAAAGACCTTTTTTGTTGTTGCCATGTATTCAGAAAAGTACACCTAAATAAGGTATAAATTTGAAAAAATTGTACAGTCAAAAATCTTTAATCCGGATTCATCAGGACTTCGGCGATTCCGGATTATTGGTTTTTCTGGATTAAAGATCATCAGTTTAAATCTGGTAAGATGGCATGCAGAAATTATAAACTTAAAAATATGAAACCGTAATTTATGAAACAAGGAGCAATTATGATCTAAAGGGTATCAAAATTTACAAAAAAAAAAAAAAAAAAAAAAAAAAAAAAAGCTTAATATTTATTGGTTTACTTTATTAAACATTTCTTTCAACGCGTGCATGTGTAAAGCATACATTACGCATAGTCGAAATTAGAAAATTGCAACCAGAAAACTATTTGATGTGTATTCGTGATATTTATAATGACGAGGAATTTGATTTAAATCATATCAAAGGTGGATTACATCGAGATGAAATACTACATTTAGTAAGGAATTATAAGCCGAATAAAGTAAAAACATCTGCCCTTTGAAAATAAGGATAGTGATGACAGATCAATTCCCAGTTTATTGCGCGCCGCAACATCACCCCCCCCCTGCCCACAGAGCAGCGTGAAATTGATATACAGGTTTCGGAATGGTTAGACAAACAAAGGATATGCCTTTATCCATTTTTTGCAGCAATTTCACTTTTTGTTTGATGGACACTGAAACATGCTTTCGCTTCGTAGATCCTTTGGCAGCTCCAGAATCGGAAATTCTTTTTGACATAATCAAAAGTTCAAGCTTACTTTTTATAAAATTGCTCTAACAGTCTGCAAAAAATAATAAGCCGAATCCAATTAGAAGATTAAGGAATAACGCAATTCTGCAACATTAACTGAAATACAGTCAAAGTCCGGACTTGTCGGGACTTCGGCGATTCCGGATTATCGATTTTTCCAGATTATAGATCATCAGTTTAAATCTGGTAAGATGGGAAGCAGAAATTATAAAATTAAAAATATGAAACCGTAATTTATGAAATAAAGAACAATTATGATCTAAAGGGTATCAAAATTTATAAAAAAAAAAGCTTAATATTTATTTGTTTACTTTATTAAACATTTCTTTCAATGTAAGTTGTTTAAGTTGCTTTGTTTTATGTGCTAATACTTTCTCTTTAATTCTATATAAACAGACATAATTTCTTGTTCATTTACAAAGTTCCGTTGTTAAAGTCCTGTAATTGCTGTGCCGAGAATACCGACAAACTTGTCAATCGAAATTTTTTCGTTTTCACTAACCTCTCTGTCACTTTCTTCATGCCTTTATCCATTTTTTGCAGCGATTCCACTTTTTGTTTGATGGATATCGAAACATACTTTCGCTTTGTAGATCCTTTGGCAGCTCCAGAATCGGAAATTCTTTTTGACATAATCAAAAGTTCAAGCTTACTTTTATAAAATTGCTCTAACAGTCTGCAAAAAATAATAAGCCGAATCCAATTAGAAGATTAAGGAATAACACAATTCTGCAACATTAACTGAAATACAGTCAAAAGTCGTTAATCCGGACTTGTCAGGACTTCGGCGATTTCGGATTATCGATTTTTCCAGATTATAGATCATCAGTTTAAATCTGGTAAGATGGCATGCAGAAATTATAAAATTAAAAATATAAAACCGTAATTTATGAAATAAAGAACAATTATGATCTAAAGGGTATCAAAATTTACAAAAAATAGCTTAATATTTATTTGTTTACTTTATTAAACATTTCTTTCAATGTAAGTGGTTTAAGTTGCTTTGTTTTATGTGCTAATACCTTCTCTTTAATTCTATATAAACAGACATAATTTCTTGTTCATTTACAAAGTTCCGTTGTTCAAGTCCTGTAATTGCTGTGCCGAGAATACCGACTAACTTGTCAATCGAAATTTTTTCGTTTTCACTAACCTCTCTGTCACTTTCTTCATGCCTTTATCCATTTTTTGCAGCAATTCCACTTTTTGTTTGATGGATATCGAAACATACTTTCGCTTTGTAGATCCTTTGGGAGCTCCAGCATCAGAAATTCTATTTGACATAATCGAAATTCAAGCTTACTTTTACAAAATTGCTCTAACAGTCTGCAAAAATAAATAAGCCGGATCCAATTCGAAGATTAAGGAACAACACAATCTGCAAAATTAACTGAAATAGATAATTTTAGCTTATACCATCCGTTATACATTAAACGCGCATGCGCACATGCACATGTGCAGCCGTAAAGCATATGCGCAAGTTGACGCATGCGCAGAAAGTTTGTAGCTTTGAGGTCCCGATTATAGATTATTCCGGATTATGGGTGTCCGAATTAACGACTTTTGACTGTACTAGATTTTTAGATAATTTTAGATTAGCTTATACCGTCCGTTATATATTAAACACGCATGCGTAAAGGTATTATGCGCATCTCTGCGCATACGTAACCACATTATGTGTTTGCGCATGCGCAGAAAGTTTGTAGCTTTGAGGTCCGTATTATTAGATCATTCTGGATTATGGATGTCTGGATTAAAGACTTTTGACTGTACTATGCAGTTGAGCATTCTTCTTTCAGACAGAAAAAGCAAACATTTTCTTGTGTTTCCTTTATCTTCCTTCTTATATAATTGTTGTTTGAATTTAGCAGATGTAAGCTAAAATCTGAAGAATATGTATTGGTATTTAAGAATACAGTTATGTAAAACATTTTTCATTTGAGTGAATTATAATTAATTAAAAAAAAAGACTGTTTTCTTCACTAACTCAAAAAAGTTTTTTAGAAAAATAAATGAAATGAAAGTGAACACGCATTGCAGATAAACTTTTATTCGAGAAAGAAATATTATTTCATAAAAAGCTTTGAAAAAAGGTAAACAAAAGTGAAGGGGGGGCAAAGAGGTAAAAAAAAATTCAAAAAATCTTTTGCATAAAATTTAATAATTATGTTTTTTCATGCAGGGTCAGCATACCGAGACCAAATCTATCCTTAAATAATTGAATTAATTCATTACATGCGAAATGGATTAAAGTTGCCTTTTGATTCTTCTACAGACATTCAAATCCTCAGATCTCAGAAAGTTTCAGAAAGATTTTAAACTCCAAACATAGAATCTTAGAGCCTTTTCTGTCATTCAAATATTTTGAATCCTATCCTTAGAAATTGTTAAACATTTAACCCAAAAAATTAAATGCGACTGCAATGGTATCTGAACCATGAGCACCAATAATGATGGCTCTGAGTGTTACATTATTTCAGTGTAGCATCCAGCAATATCTGCCAACATTTTTATATAACCATTACATCAGTGCATTGCTGAAAATAATTCTGAGCATATATGACTTATTGCTAATAAATCTAGTGCTTCATGCCACGATGCATGAATATTTTGTAGGCCACGTATTTCAATTGTCTACATGTTGAACTCTTCAGCCATAGCTGTTGAAGTTTGAGCTAATTTCAAATGCAAGGGAAATCGAAACTAATATTACAAAAA